TTCCTCTAATCCTTATAGGTTAGGAAATGACAGTCAAAGTGTCACAAAAAGCTAAGCCTGTACTGGACAGATCTTTCTCCTTTCTAATCCCCATGCGTGTGGACTAGCTTCAGTGATGTCATGCTACACATTTCACTGCTGATCTTCTTTAAGCACACAAGAAGCCACGAAGGACCTGGGAGAGTGTGCTCAGACCAAGGAGAGGTCCAGTCAGAGCTCTCCAGCTTTAAGCGCACGTCCATTAAACACATACTCTATGTCTGTGAGCCTTCAAAATGCAGCTCACAGCCCTAAGCAAGCTTTCCTGCAACAACCTCAGCTTTTAACTGCATTTTTCCTCTCCTTAGATGCCACAAACACAGGTGTCTCACGAGGGGCCAGGCAGGTCCTGGACATGAGTGAAGGAAATGTAAGACAGTAAGGAGTGGTGGAGACTGGATGGAGGAGCACAAGGAGGGGACGGCCGCTCCGCTCCAGAGGACTGATGCCTCAGGGAGGTCCCAGGCATCATTAATTTCGGGAGAAACCAGAAATCCAGATTTTATGGGAACTATTTGAATTCTAAGTATTGTCAAATCATTCAAAGCAAAAAATTTAAAAAGACGATGTGGCCAAAACAGAGTATTCTCTGCTCTCCACTAATACAGCACTTAGAAACTTAACTGTGTTGGAAGGGGCAGCAGTGGAAGCTGACATGCAATGCACACCTGTGTGCTGTACGACTCCAGTGCTATGATATTCTGGGAAGACAGACCTACAGAGACAGTAAGAAGGTAGGTGTTTGCCAGGTGGGGCAGGAGGGGTGACTACGCAGAGCACAGAGGACTTTTAGGGCAGGGAAGCTATTCTGTATGATATTAAATGGTGGGTACGTGTTACTATTCAGTTGTTAAAAACTAAGGCATGTGCACCACCAAGAGTGGACCCTAATGCAAACTATGAACTTTGGGTGATAACGATGTGTCTTCTGTTGTAACAAATGTACACTTCTGGTGCAGGATGTTGACAGAGGGGCAAGCTGTGTGTTGGGGGTGTGCGGCAGAAGGTGTACACAGGCTCTCTGCTCTCCTGTTGGACTTTTGGCCTGATTTTTGCTGTAAACCTAAAACTGCTCTAAAAAGTAAAGTCTACTGAAAAAACTGCAATACTGCCTGGGACAAAAAATAGGAGGGAGAAAAAAATGAGTTATAGCGCCAAACTTCCACTAGCACAGAAGTGGAGAAGGAAAGAAATGTGGAATGAATTCAAATTAGAAGGACGGTCCTTCATGCTTATTACATTCCAATAGTTCTCTTTTTTTTCTTTCCTGGCATGAAAACACAACACGAGGAATGAGGGTGAGGGGAATGGAAGGAAACTTCCTGGCAAGTTATTAACGATGTGACAGGAATGAATTAGCACCAGTAAAATAAACATGACGCACGATCTCTCCATGGATGTGTCCCGTGGAAGGAGGAGATGTGGGACACACGGCGGCCAGTTAGGGGACCACGTGCAGCACGGCTGGAAGGAAGGCAGAGGTAACTCCTCCTCTTCTTTCCCTCCCTGAATCTGAACTGAGTGCCGCCTGTGAGAGGATGGGGGTGGAAGGGCATGTTTGCCATGGGTACCAAGCAGATTTAAGGGGAGGAATCCAAAGGTCAACCTCAGTGCGGACCCTAGTCACACTCCTGGTTGATTCCGACTCAGGATTATGGGACATGGTTCACCAGCGAGCACGACCGGCCCCTCCGCCCCATTGCAAGTCCTGCCATGTTGGATGATGCTGACAAAGATGGCAACAGAGGAAGGACTTGGTAACACTGACCTGAAGATAAGTTGTTGGCTATACAAAAAGTGTCCTCATTTTTAAACTATCTGTCATTTAAAATTCTACAGGGATGGTAAAACTTGAGGCATTGCAAATCTCAATGAAAAGGCAAATGACTTTCTGGTTCTGGCTTCCACCATTAATTGTGTGCTTTGGTTAATTAAGGACCAGGGCAGAGGCTGGACTGAAGAAGAGGTATTTAATTTTTCTCCCAGTAGGGGTGAAATAATTACTGGTTGAGTCAAAGAAGTTATTTGGCACACGTTATACCAAATTGCCAAGATCCAGCTGAAAAAACCAAAATGAAGAGGGGGCTGTCCTGCTGAAGATGGATCTGTGAGAACTACCAGATAATGTTGTTTTTAAAGGTAAAATTTTAAGGGAGAGAAAAAAAAATGTCCCAACATTAGAGCAAAAGATGAAGCACTACAGCAGCAAATGGAAAAACAATGAAAATAATGACCACAGAAACTTCCTTAGGACCGCAGGGGCACCAGGCGCGTCACGTTCACTAACTCTCCATTCTCACAACAGCCCAGTGAGGAACCTGTGGTTGCGAGCCCAGTCTTAGAGAGAGGGAAACCGGGGCGCGGTAGTGCTAAGTTGCCCAAGGCCACGTGGCTAGAGAACTCTAGACCTCTGGTGTTACTTCCCGTGTTGAGATAAAACATCTTCATGAGACTGTGATGGACATCGCTAAGCAAACTTTATTGGTTGCTTAAATCCGGACACAAAAAACAAAGGCTAGTTTACTTTGTCAGTTGGGACTTTGTGGGTGTTGACCAGAATGAGAACGTTCTAACGTTGCTGTTCATGGAATCACCACCACTTAAGAAACCACTCCACCTGTGTCTTGCAGACATAGAACTATGGGGCGCATTCATCACCCACCCCATTGCCTCCTGCTTTTCACTGACTCGTAAACATGGCGATTGCTAATCACAAAGAATAGTTCACGTCGAGACAAGCCAGGGCTTTGATCTTTGTTGGGTCTCTGTTTCAGAGTTCACCTCTTGACCCTGTGATGACATGAAACGACAGGCCGATGTGGCTGAAGACAGGCTGGGAGGAGGCCTTAGACACCGGCCTTCCCCTCCTGCAACGGAGAAGTGGGGGCAGATTTTATTAACATATCACTCAAGGCTTCAGCTTTATTTCGGGTGACCTTATACCAAAGATGCCCTAGAATGTTCCATGGACCAGTCAGGGTGTCTGCAAGGAACACACACCAGACAAGGGATGCAAAGAACCCTGTGGATCTCTTAGACAAGTAGCTGCCAGGATCTCTCTCTGTACACACGTACACACGTACACACAGAGACAACTGTATTTCATGTTGAAGAGGCTCAAATAACAGTCATGTTAAATAATTAAAAATTATTAAAACAATTAAATAATTAAAAAATTAGTCTTTCTCCAACTTGAAAGGTTGAAGAAATATCTGGAAAAGGTTGACCTTCTTTTAAAAAAAGCTGCAACTGCATGTATCACAACCCGAGATCACTTCCAAACCATGATGTGCATCTGCTGCATGACTCCCTGACGATGACAGTCGTCATGAATTACAGCAAAGAAAGGGCTTGGGATTATGTTA